ATTCCTAATATCAAAGGCTGGCGAGGGGGAGGAAAGAGACTTCAGAAAAAATAATATGTCGTTGACCTCATAAACCATCATCAATGGTAACAGATGGAGGGATACAAGTCTGGATTTATAGTCAGTCTTGTAGTCATCCAAGATCCACTTAGTAGCCCTCCTCTGCACACTTTCCAGTCGACGGATATCCTTAACTAGTCTTGGCCTCCATAAGACAGAGCAGTAGATAAGCTTAGATCTCACTAGGGTGAGGTAGAGGAGTCTCTTGACTGGTACTGGAGTAGAGGGGCTAAAAGATCTCCTCAGTAGACCAAGTATGCGTAGTGCCTTGGAAATAATTAGAGAGAAGTGATTAGACCATGACAAATCATCAGTCATGATCACCCCTAGGTCACGCTGGGAAAAAATAAACAAAGGTAACTGTAGTAAGACGATCCATAGAAATTTTTGATTCATACATTTACTTTAAAAGATGATGATGGCTGCCCAGTAATTCCATTGCATGAATTGACCAATAATGTCATATACTTGTACCGTATAGATGGAAAATTTTGCGGCAATTTAATTTTGCGTTTTCAATAAATTTTGAATGTTTTTTAATTTTGCGAAAAAAAATTAAAATTATGCAATTTGGCCATGTTGTCTTGACGCGTACACACGATGCTAATGATACAGGCCCATCGAGCCCACATAATTTTAATTTTACAGTTTTTAATTATGCGTTTATTTTTAAAACGCAAAGCGCAAAATTAAATTCCCGCAAAATTTTCCATTTATACGGTACATCACAAAAATGAGAAACCACTTATGATGAAGTACTGTGTCCATTGTCTTAAAGCCAATTTAAAAATTACTAAAACACCAAACAAATGTATTAAATTAAGCATTTTAAGGCTTTTCATACCATAGTCTATGGTATTTGGCCAAATTTTAAAAATCAGATCAATCTTCTTCTTTTAATGTTTTATTTTATAGTCCATTATGGTCTTTTGCTAAATTTTTGAGAAGCTATTAAAATTAATAAATTGATCAGACTCAGCCCAAACTTCAAAAATAATGTACATGTACATTATATCAAAAATGAAATAATAATGAAGAGTTTTTACCATGCATTTCATATGTAATACACACTATAATCTTTGTCTAAATTTTGAAGCAACTTTAAAAATTCCTAAAATCCAAAAAAGCTCAAACTTTTTTATAAAACATTATGTATGCATTACAAAATGTCATAACAATGAATAGAGAACTCTCTAGTACCCATTTTTGCTATTAAACACAAAACTTTAATGTGCAGCATATTTCCTTGAATAAGGGCCTAGTTGCAAAAATAATTAGTTCTCCCCAAAATTCATACTATACGGTACTATCAGTAGTACAAGTGCATGCACATGCAGAAGTATACATGTACATGTTGTATGATAGTATTAACACACATCTTAAGAAACATGCTGTCATAATGTATGCTCACAGTGTTCTGCACTTGGTTCCATCACCATTAGTATAGTATGGAGATAATGAGTTCCATGATATTATTCTATTGCTTGAAGATGTCATCTGTCCCTTGTTGGTGCTTGGGAGAATCTGTAGATGCAAAAGACCTACATAGGACATGAAACATACAATACATATAAAGATATAAACGGAATACCTCAAAGTTTCCAAAAAGTATCCTAAGCAAACTAAACATGCTAAGCAAACTAAACAGCACTTCATGTGCTAACAAGCTACAACACATACATGTACATTTTAAAATTTATAAATAATCCAACTTTAATTTGAATCTGCTCAAAGTTTCTACTCAACATAAAACTGTGTGTGAATCATAATTCATAAAATGTAATAAAAATAGAGAATCCTCCCTTAGGGCCATTTTTGACAAAATAGTCTACTTGCCTGTATCATTCATAATAACATTTTGTGCGACTTTAAAAATTAGCTTTTGCTCAAACTTTTACGATACAAAAACACATTTATGATCAGATCATGTACTCGCATATTCATTTTTGTCACTATAATTTATTATGATGCTTGTTAATTCAATAAAGTGGACTTAAAAGGTAATTAAATATTGTGGCACTCATTTAAATGTTAGTCAACACTATCATCATAAAGTTATGATACTACTTAACTCACATCCATCAGTGATTCAGTCATATATAGTCTACTGCTCACATAATATCTTGGAATAGATAATAAAGTAAATGAAAAAATAATAGGTAAATAAGTAAAAGTAATCTTGAGCCTTGACTAAACTTGCTTAGAAAGTAGCCACACCCTTCTGTCACACTTATTATGCATGCATAGCACAGATACTGTAATTTCCCATAAAATTCATCATCAATGTTAAATTAAGGCAAGCCAATTATTTCTATGAATTTATAGACAGCATGGTGGTGCAGTGAATGTGTGTTATGTTATGCGTGGTGAGCTGCTGCTTACCTGCCAATCGTTGCTATATAGCCAAGATGAAGTTGAAACATGTGGTAAGGATAATTTTTGTGTCAAATAATTAATTTGACTACTTTTCTTCCCAAATAATTTGAATCAATTTTTATTTATAGAAATTATGGTAATTTTGTGCTTTTAAAATAGGCATCTCCAATTTGATTGTTAATTTAATATTCACTTTAAATTCATTTAATAAATCAAATATAATTTTATTTAGGTATTTGACTCAATTTGAGGAGCTAGTGTTTTTGAAAGGGTTTGAAAAAAAATAGGAACAGAAGTAAATACTAAACAAAGAGGGAAGACTCAAGGTGCAGTTTGTAAAAGGTACAATTGTACTTAATTTACTAGCGATATTTTTCCCCTTAGGCCAATAGTGAGAATATTTTGTAATATCTCAATTAATAAATGTTAGTATAAAATACTTCTGATATGATGACACCTCTGTATCAAGGAAAAGCATATGTTGTATGGTGCCGAATACCCTGTTATCCCTGTTACCTTGTTTATATTGTTACCTTTACCTCTCACCACTGGTCCTTTTGCTCCATGTACATTTGTTACTGCTTATTCCATTGTTCCTTTTACTAAAATCTGACCTTAGATTTGTCATTGTTCATTACCCTATAAAAAATAATGTTACCACTTTAATGTTTTGCTAAGTAAATATCACTTATGTTACAGTGCCAGCTGATTTGCCCAGTAACAATTGACAATGATAATAATCGAAACTCGAATATAACAAATAACTAAATACAACCAGTTCACTACCAATGTTTCTCCTTATATACCTAACTCCCACATACATTATTATCAATAGTTTAATAGTAATTAATTAATTAATTTTGGTTACATTGTTACACTTATGTCAGCATGGCATACCTATACACAACACAACAATATTTATATCATTATGTGATTCACTATATTGTGAAATATCAACAGCAGTAGTCATAGTATATTTTTTATAAAAGTAAAATGTCTATTCATGTAGGTTATGTACTTATGTACATGTATGACATTTAATTAGCTGCATGGTTATTGGGAACAAGTGGCACTACCCAGAGAAGGTTCAACAGGAAGTCTTTACAGAAAATAATTTCATCAAAATAATTAAATATTTGGCATACTTTCACAAACATGGCGGCTATGATAACTAGTATTCCCTTATGCCTCATAAAGAAATTAAGTGGGGTACATGGACGTTAATAAGGTCAAGTTTCTTAAAATGCTTTTGGAAACCATTTTGAGGAATAAAAACTACGGGTACACGGGTCAAAAACTGTGTCCCATTTCTAATAAGGGCTCACGTGATGCTAATTAAGTGACCTTTTGACCCCATTGAACCTCCTCTGGGTACTACCTACATGTTACTTGTCTAGGAAAATGAGGCTCCTAACTGTAATTCTGTGTTAATACATTTTTGTAATGTCTGTGCTATAAAGTCTAATAGATTCTAGTTATTGATCATGGACTTTTAGAAACACTTGCCTCTATTCTAAGATCAAGTTGTATAGATTTAATTGCATGCATGGCCATCATTCATAGTAATAAACTATTGTGCCAACATCTTGTTAGTAGTAACCTGATATAGTATGTACAGTAATAGTGCACACATGTAGTTAGTGAGGCCATATACATACATTGGGTGTTAATGGTGTAATTGGCTGGCTTTTCAATTGGCATAGCTGAAGTACTATTATTAAGTCTACAATACACCACACCTATCTCATTGTACATGTTTGCATATGGACTGTTGTTTGACCTGAGTTATGAGTGGAGAAAACCTTTATCTTACGTCAAGTTGGTGCACACATTGGACTTACAAGTATCTCTTCCTGTCCTTTCTCTCTTCTGTACGTCTATTGTCCAATTATTGTCTTGAGTTACCAAGTGGAATAGAAGACACCATTATTAAAGTGATGGGAGTCACTACTGCAGAATATGATCTACTTTTCTCAGTTACTGCATGGCCTAACATATTCCTTTGCTTAGTAGGAGGAATACTAATAGATAGGTTAGTGGGATTGAGACTCGGGCTACTCATTATGGTCGTTTGTGTCCTACTGGGTCAGATTGTATGGGGTATAGGAGGAATAGCCAATAATTACTACATTATGTTGGCTGGACGTTTTTTTATTGGAGCTGGAAATGAGTTAGTCACAGTGATTGATCATGCTTTTAAAGCGATTTGGTTTAAAGAGGACCTATCACTTGCCATTTCAATTGATATTGGATTCAGTAGAATAGGAGGAACATTAGCTATACTTCTTCCTCAGTTAATATACGACAGTCTCACAATATTTCATAGTCCTACTTTTAGACTAGGAGTCACACTACTCACTGCTGCTGGATTAATGATAATTGGGCTAGCATTCTCTTTAATAGTATTTGGCATGGACTGCAAAAGAGAGAAAGTAATTGAACAACCTTTAAAGCTGAAAAATCTGAAAAGAACCACTATGAATGATTTTAAACAATTTTCTTTATTATTCTGGTTGACTACAGCTATTAATGTGACATATTTTCCTGTCATTTTTTCATTTGTCGGGATTGGACAAGATTTTTTCATACAGAAATATGGCCTATCAATGGAAGTTGCAAATTTAGCCAATAGTTTGTTGTTTGGCAGTGCACTCATACTCGTACCAATTGCTGGAATTCTAATCACTAAAACTGGCTTCCATTTACTTTGGTTACTGTCATTTGTTTTGACAACAGCTCTCCCAGCTTTATTAATATTCATGTTCAGTAACGGAGAGAGTTACTTTCCATTCGTAGCTGGAGTATTCTATTCTCTTTCATACACTTTTAGCGGACCTTCATTCACGGCTCTGCCTGCTTTCTTAATAGATAAAGAAAACATGGCCACAGCATTTGGTATTCTGAATAGTAGCTACAATGCTGCCTACTCATTAGTAACATATGTTACTGGTCTGATTATTGATACTCTTGGCTACTTTGTTTTGCAAGGATTCTTTATACACATTATTATGCTAAGCATTGATTTCACATTGCTGACTGTCATTTTTGATGCTGCTTCTAATAAACCTAATTTAAATGTTCCAGGATTATGGCTTAGATGCAAAGCAATCAAAGAATGAATTTATTTAGAGCAATATTAATTTTTTGCTGTAATTAATTTTCAACAAAATTTAATTGCAAAAATAGAATAGTTAAAATAAGTTAAGGTGTTATGAATAAAAGGACTGATAAACTTCTTCTGCCTCATCAAGCTTACAGAAAGAGGCTGGTGTTGAACTCAAGGGCTGAAGCATCTTAACTAAATTTCTAAACAGTTGAAATGGTCAGTAACACATGTAGCTCAGTAAAATTTTTCATGAGAGATATACTTTTACACTACAAAACCATCATATATGTGATAAGGGCTATAGAGAGTTCTGAGAATTTTATTTAGATTCACTAATCTTTTTATCAAAAGTATTTTATGCTCATTTATCAGTGTAGTAAACTATTTAGTGTTAGGTTTATGTGATTTTAATTAGTCTGTACAGTTATGTAATTTTTGTAAACCACATCCTGTACATTGTTAATTGTCTGTGTACTTAAAGCCTTCCATACACCAGGCAACTTGTTGCTAGCAACATTTGTGGTTTCTTTGATCTTTTGAGCATGTTGCAAAAATAGAACTGATTTCTATTCTAGCAACATGTTGCTTACAAGATCAAAGTAACCACAAATGTTGCTAGCAACATGTTGCCTAGTGTATGGGGGCCTTAAGGTCTTACACTTTGCTTTTTGTAGTGGAACAGTTATAGTTAGTTTTGTTGTTAATAATACTTTCTAAGTTACAACAATCAGTACCAGCTACTTTAATGAATCATAGTGTTTGGTCTTCATTCTATTTAAAAAAATTTTCACATACGTTAATAACAAAATTTGGGAAATATTCTTGCGACAGAAAGTCACCATTATAGTAGATATAAGACTTAGTGTCCAAGTGGATGCATGGTATACATGTGTTAGTAGCTTTATTCAATCAATTCATTCAATTTGCCTTTTCTACACCTGTGATACGAGTGTATCCTAGATATAGTTCTTTATTAGAACTCAATTCTTTGTTGCTATAAAAGTACATCCGTACAATTTCAAAATGATCAGAATCAGTTAAGCTTTCTACATGCATGTGTCAAGCGGCATGCATATGCATGACTGTGCCATTTATTACAACAGGGATTTATAGACTACATATACGTAACAAAAATAAAGCTAGGTTCACATTGCATCCTCCAATTGAAAATCTAAACACAATAAAGTGACACAGAATTGGTATGATGCTCATGATAATAATTATTTTTTCTAATTCACTGTATGCATTTACCAAAAGCATTATAGATGTAAAAATATTTTGGATGATAGTTTTGTAATGGATAGTCATGACCAACCCTCTGTAATGACTTTTTCTTTCCCATTATCATTTATAGGAGAACAGCTTCTTGATCAATTTATTAATTTCTGGTAGGACTTTAAAGATTTCAGCAAGATATTACAAGAACCGTTACATCAATACAATGAATAATAATAATAATAATACAATGAATATAGTCAACCATGCAGGCCAAACTAGCTGGATTCTATGTCCTTTATTCATGAAATTTCTTTTTAATGAAAATGCATGAAGCCATGGTGTAATAATTTCATCACTGTATGATGTGTATAAAAATTAATTACAAAATTACTATGAAGTTCATTATGCCAACTTGCCAGAAATTTGCTCTCATTTTACACCTGGTATAGACGCCTCAACAAATCATTAAAATCGCAGAAAGTTAAGACCAGAAAAATTAATTTTTACGAGAGTGAAGCCGGCGTCTATAGATATGGAGTTTGAGCACCAGTTGGAAGATGAAGAAGTCCCTGTGGCTGTGGTTGGTGGTGGTATAGTGGGTCCAGTAATGGCATACATATTGGGAGAGCGCGGTATCAGAGTTCATTTATATGAGTCGAGAAACAAAGGCCTAAATGGAAGTCTGGGCAGAGCAATAAACTTTTCTCTCTCCAACCGCGGAATAGACGCACTGGTACGAATGGGTATCTCCGATGAAGTGCTAAAAGAGGCAGCTCCATACTATGGTAGATGCATACACTTGCCTAATAGTGGGGGTAAGACTAAAGTAGAGTTTTACCTTGGCAATGAAAAGAAAGGAGCAATACACTCCATAAATAGGAGACTATTGAGTGAATTGGTTTTGAAAAGATTAGAAGAGAATCCAAATGTCAAAATTTTTTATCAGCATCAATTAATTAATATAGAGCATAAAAACGAAACGTTACACTTTAACGTAAAAGGAGGAGAAAAGGGGAGTAATAATAAAAAATCAGTAAAAGCTAAATTTATAATTGGCTGTGATGGTTTCAATTCTTCTGTGCGTAAAAGTATACTGGGATCAATGTCATATTATCAGCAGAACATATTGGACGAGGTTTATCATGAGTTGTACCTTCCTCCAACACAAAATGGAGAGTCTGCCCTACCATATCCAGATATGTTTCATATATGGCAACTAGGTGAAGTGATGATGGTTGGTCTACCTAATAAAGGGAATAGTTTCAATATCATATTATATACTCCTCTCTCGCACTCTAGAAATATTAAAACACCAAATGATGTTTTGGATTTTTTCCGAAAAACATTTCCAGACGTGCAGAAAAAAATTCCACAAAATCAACTAATTGAAGATTTTTTTCGAAAGACCCCAAGCAGGCTTAATATCATGAAGTGTTACCCTTATCACTATGGTAACATCCTTTTGCTAG